ACGCCCTTCGCTCGAGAGTCTTAGAGACTTGGCGTAGATCATGGCAGTCAAGGCTGACTTGACGCGCATACCGGTATCAAACGCCCTTTGGAAGTACTGGTGCAGACAAATGGTCTGTGTTACCGAGACCAAAAACATCGCCAGCGCGATGGCCACACCACTGATCACGGGCTGAGGTTCATCAGTTTTATATGATTTGATGAAGTTGATTAGGAGGCGCAAGAGTTGCGGCTGGACAAAGGCAAGTACGTCGCTTCCACACTTGATGATTGCGCCGCGCAGGTACGGGCCGCCGAACGATTTCATCAACGCCAGCCACAGAGACGGCTTTGACTTTTTCAGCTCTTCCGCCCATTTTTCCTCCAGAGTGTCTCCTGTGACGCGCGTAGTGTCGCGTCGCCGTAGATTCCACAGATCATCCTGAGTAAGATAGTTCTTGTAGCCGAATTTCATCAATGGTGTCATCCAGCTGAAGGTGAGGACTGCGAAAATATCGGCGTACTCGTACGGGCATTCATCCTCATCACCCAAGGCATCGTACGCACTTTGTTTTTTCGGAACCAGGTATTCGAGTCCGAATTCCAACAGCGCCAGACCGAGGCTAACGTTGATGCAAACAAAGTATGGGAGTTGATCCTCGTAAGCCTTTTGCGAGACCAGCGACCGTAATTTGATGCCGTAAGCGATGGTAAAGAAGAGCCAGTAGAGCAGGACAACGCCGTTGGGCTGTCTGCTGCGCCAGTGCTCGTAATATTGAACCGCAAATATTACACCAAGAGACGCGAGCACCAGAATGGAACTCCAGAAGCGAAAATCAACCAAGAAGAGACGAGGAGCGGACTCGGCTTGGATTGCGGCTTGAAGGGCAGTCGTGAAAATCAGGGCGCCCAGCACAATCTATTAGCGAGGAATGCCTCTGTTAGATAACGATCTGGCTCGGACGGTCGTAACGTCCATTTTAAAAAGAAGATCTTACCAATTTTGCATAAAAGTGCCAATTTTTCGACACGGGCTGAGGCGCACGCTTCTTCAATAAGAACCAAATGGCACCTGCTCCCATGAGCAAGCCCCATGCTGCAACCAGAGCTACTCCAAAATCCAGGAAACATGGTGTAAGATCAAATCTGTATTTGCTTATTGGACCCCATCCCTCGACATCACCACAAAAAGGCTGAAGTTTTTTTGAGGGACTGAACGGAGAGTCCAAAGTCGATGATGAAAGTGGTGTGGAATGGGAATTCCCTAGGATCACCTGGGGGTTGCCATCAAGCATCTTGGTATCCGGACAAACGACCCCAACTCCAAAGATCCCTGAACCGTCTGGCAACAGGAAAGGAGAGGGAATTAACTGAGAGATTAAAAACTCAGAATGCCAGTGATTTCAAATACGAGACTGGCGGATTTTGTCTGATGGCGCAAGGAGAATAATTCGAAGCGATAAGAAACTAGCTGCAGCTTGATTACTAAAGGTCCAGGCTTCGCTGCTGCTGGCGTCTCGGAAATAAGGTAGTATTGGTTCGAAGACACCTAGGTTCGGGTTGGAACTACCTATAATGAATGATTGAGGCAAGGATACTCAATGGGCACTTCAGAATTGAAGATATGTACAGCTCTATTCCACTCAACAATGTCGCGATTTCCAACAAATGTTGAGTATAATACTCTCTGTTGTGATTTGAATAATGACATAACCGTTCGTGCTTAATTCCGATGAGGCTGGAACCGTGAGTCAGTTCGGAGAATGTCTTGGGTCGCTTGGCATGACATTTCCTCACCTTCTCCACGACTCCCCTCAATACTCCGTAATCAGTGAGTCAATTTCTGAAGATGAATTATTGGGAGCTTTAAGACATACGCTGGTGTTCTCCGTCTGGGAGGCGAGCATATTCAAGATAGCTAGACCAATTCAGGCTGATTTAAGCTCGCAGCTATCAAGAATAAACCCTGCTCTGTCTTATCTTGAGCAATCCTCGATGATGTAATGCCTTGCAAGTTGAGGCTTCCTTGGGATCCACCGATCTTCAATTGTTGTCTGACAATCTCTGTACTACATGTTAACACAATATGGTGATGATCAGATCGCAGTTTGACCTTTTCCCCCCTTAGATCGGAAGTATGCAGCTCGCGATATGCCGCTTGTGATAGTTGACGCAAGAAATATAACATCTACTATCGAACATAATGTACGGAGAACGCAACCGATTTCACATATATATATCAAGCGACCCTTAAGGGAGAACGGTCGAATGATTCAGTATCCTGGGTTCATCAGCGTCCCAATCACAACTAGGACTATGTCTGTATAGCACTCCCATGCGCTACTCATAGATTTCCATAAATGATTCTGTGTAATGGCCTGGCTGTCGTGCGATCAGAGCAATTACTCTGTCGGTCATCAATTGCCATATCGGGTCCCCGCTTGAGGCACATAACGACTCCTGCGCTACCCAGCCATATGACTAAGTCTCCTCCATGAGTCAGTAAGCAAAGCCAAATAACTGACCGGAAAATTCTAGAACACTTTCATCAATAAAAGATGATGGAATTTTTTTTTAAAATCATGATACTGGTGCCTGGATTCTCATAATACAGTAGTAGCCCCACACTAAGGCGGTATACTTATCACTTTTGGAGGGTTGCACATTTCGCCGCAGTGCTTTGCGTCTCCGCGATTGAACATACTCTGGAATAAAACTACGTGACAACGCAATGGTCGCAGATACTCCTTTGGTGGAGGAGTTATTGAAAAGACCTCTATATGGTATGCACGTTCTTCTCATGTTCTAGATTAAGTCTGCGCATAGCTGACCCTCATTAGTGTATCATCTTCCTCAGGATCTGCTTTCGACTTTAACCACCAAGGGCGATGACCAATCCATAGCCGTTGAAGATACTGTCGAACCCTCTAGAGAACCGCTCGATCTGTCGACGCTAGACCCGGTGATCGCTACTTCCGCATCTTGCGCCCTTTGCAAAGTCTCCTTTTTGAATGTACAAGAACAACGAGAGCACGTTCGGTCGGACCACCACAGATTCAACGTCAAAGCGCAAGCTAGAGGCAACCCTACTTTAGACGAGGCACAATTTGCTAAAGCGGTTGGAGATTTGGATGAGTCAATATCTGGCTCCGAGTCGTCAGAGGAGGAAGACGACGAAGAAGACGTGCAGCTCTCGGCCTTGCTGAAAAGGCAGGCCAGGATAGCCCAGGCAGCTGAAGAGGCGGAGGAGTCACCAAGCAAAAAGCCAGCTAGCAGGAGCCCTCTTTACTGGTTTTCAAGCTCGCTATTGCCATCCAACACATCACTAGGTGTCTATAGAGCTTTGTTCTCGAATGACGAACAAGATGAACCTAAACACCTCGTTGGTTCGTTGCGAAAGAAGCAACTATCGCCGCTACCAACACAAAGACCGAATGCACAGCAACAAGCGAATGGAACCACGCACAGTCCGCATATCTTCATGTGCATGATAGGAGGTGGCCATTTCGCTGCCATGTTGGTCTCTCTGGCCCCCGAAATTCATCGTAAACAAGGTGGCGTTGAGGAGCGGCAGGCCCGCGTCATCGCCCACAAGTCATTCCATCGCTATACAACGAGACGGAAGCAGGGTGGTTCTCAATCTGCTAGTGACGCCGCTCGAGGAGCAGCACATTCCGCTGGTTCTAGCCTTCGAAGGTATAACGAGGCTGCTTTGGAGAAGGAGGTCAGAGAGCTCTTGAGAGACTGGAAGGAGATGATCGATAATGCGCAACTGTTGTTCATCCGAGCGACTGGCAATACGAACCGAAAGATCGTATTTGGGCAATATGAGGGTCAATTTCTAAAACAGAATGATCCCAGAATAAGAGGGTTCCCATTCAGCACTCGTCGAGCCACGCAAGACGAGCTTATGAGATGCTTCAAAGAACTTACTCGCGTGAAAGTAAGCCAGATCGATGAAGCGGCCCTTGCAGCAGCAGAGGCAAATCAGAGGGCAGAAACTGTGAAGCCTCCAACACCACGGCCGCAGCAGCAAAAGCCAAAAGTGTCGAAGGAGGAGGAGGAGGCTATACTGCATACATCTCAGATACAAGCCCTGATTCGACGGTCCAAAGTACCAGCTTTGATGTCCTATCTCTCCAAAAACTCTATACCCTCATCTTTCGCGTTCCGTCCATCAGATTCTCCGCAATATTTCCGCTGTCCTACTCCCTTGCATTTTGCAGCAAATCTGGACTCCCCATCGGTAGTTTCGGCCCTCCTTACAAAGGCCGAGGCTGATCCAACGGTTGTCAACGGCGAAGGAAGAACTGCTTTCGAGCTTGCCGGCGATCGAGCTACCCGTGATGCATTCCGCGTTGCGCGTCACGAACTGGGAGAGTCCAAATGGAACTGGGACGCTGCCAAGGTCCCAACTGCGGTATCCAAGGAGGAAGTTGATAGTCGCGCAGAAAGGGAGCGGAAAGCTGCAGAAGAGGAAGAGTCAAAGAGGCGCAAGGCTGAATTAGAGCGATTAAAGAAGGAAGAAGCTGCTAGAGCAGCCTCACTACAAGAATTGAGAAAAGCGGGAGGCCGAGCATTAGGAGCGATGGAAAAGACAGCATCTGAAAAGAGAGAAGAAGAAATGAGGGGAATGACACCGGAGATGAGGATGAGACTGGAGCGAGAGCGTCGCGCTCGAGCAGCGGAGGAACGCATTCGAAGGATGCAGGGAAAGTAATCAGTGAGATGTGTCAGTGTCAACACTTGATGATTGAGAATTTGCGAACATTGATGTCCTGTACGAAATAGAATTGAATGAAATAAAGCTGAAATGGATGATGACTTTTTCGACGCGCAGACTTGACCAGCGACTTCAGTACTATTGCACACAGCACCTGACTTTGACTGGGAGGTAATATGAGCTGCTTAAGTCTCCTGAACCTCTTGACAGCGACAACCGCCATCATTAGTCTTGCATGATTACAGTCTTTTCCCAAAGCCCTCCATATTTCCTTACCACTCTCATCTCTACTTTGTATAATGTCTGAGCGCCAGCCATCCTGTCCAGGCTGTTATGTCGGTACACTTCTGGAAGTGGACCCACGAACTGGGAAGACAAGCAACCCATTAACTCTATCCAGCAATAACGAGATATACGTCGGTCGAGACCAGAAACGATGGTACTGAGACTCTCTTTCTATGAATCCTTCAATGCTAATTGTAATCATAGCCAATACGTTGTAAACGATCCATTCATCTCGAACCGTCACCTCCGAATCTACACCATCATCTTCGACCAAGACAATCCCGACGAAGTCGCACCGTTAGTATACGCTCAAGATATCTCGCTGAACGGCACGTCGTGGAACAACTATCCCATGGGAAAGGGAAATGGTAGCTTTCTCTTGAGCGACGGCGATATTCTGAAACTGTCCCCGAGTGTCCACCTTTTGTACCGACGTGACGGCCACAGAGAAGAGGATCACTTTGACGTGCTGCAGAGAGTCGAGATGAGGGTCGGCCTTACTTCTGCTAAAGTTTGAACACATGCTGATTGCGTGTAGGTTTTTGAGGATCAGTACACGATTACACAGCGAAAATTAGGATCCGGGGCGTACGGGCAGGTGCATATGGCGTTCAACAGAGAGACTGGTCAGCAGCTTGCATGCAAGATCGTTGATCTCCGGACTTTGAAGGACAGGGTTCTTGAAGAGTTTGACGGTCAAAGATCCAGGTTCTTCGAAATGGACACGGACCGCGTGGTTGCGGCGCGCACACACTGTGGGTACATCGCAAGGAAAATCCAGGAGAAACTCGAAGTATATGACCGGGAAGCCAGAATCCTGGCAAGGCTCTGCCACGTAGGTTTTGCTCGAGTCCCATCAGAAGGGCACTAACGCAATCAAAGCCGAATATTATTAGGGTCGAAAAGGTGATCCGATCAAGCAATACAATGTGAGACGAGCCTTGATGAGATCCAAAGTTCGCGCTAACTGAAGAAAGATATCTTTTTCAGGACCTCGTGACTGCTGGTGACTTGTTCTCATTCATCCAATACAAAGGTGGAAAGCTTGGTGACATTGAAGCTGCCGTGATCGTGCGACAGGTTCTCATGGCTCTGCATTACCTCCATGAACAGAATATTGTTCACAGAGACCTGAAGCCAGACAATATTCTCATGACGTCCCTGGCGGATGGGAGCAGAGTGGTGCTCACTGACTTTGGATGTGCGAGGCTAGTACAGCCTCGGATTGAGAGAATGTCCACAAAAATCGGCACGTATGACTACAGCGCTCCGTAAGTGCAACTAGGCTTCCATACTTTGATATACTAACTCTTGTCGTAGCGAAGTCCTTCGATCCAGCCGACAAGGCTATACAAAAGCCGTAGATCTATGGTCCCTAGGTTGTGTTGCAACCGTGCTCCTGACGGGGGAACCTCCTTTCAGCTCTCCATTGCCTGAGCGGAAAACCAGCCAGGGCAATCGACAGGGTGCTCTCGACAGACTCGAGGCGAATTTGACCTGCACCATGATTGGCAAGCGGGCGAAAGACTTTGTTCTTCGTCTCCTGGTCTTCGATGAGACAAAGCGCATGGATGTGAAGCAAGCATTGGGTCATTGTTGGTTCACCAATCCTGCTCATAAAGAGGCATTTGAAGCGCTCTACAAGCGATCCGTTAGGGACTGGAAGCCTCGAGTACCGAAGGAGCCACTGATGGTCGAGCTCCGCGATCTGATCCAAGTCCGCAAGACGAACGGAGATGTCGTTCAGATTCAACATTCCCAAGAGGATTTGCCAAGCGAGTTTTCTGGATCAGCTCTTCCAACGGCAAGTGTCGCTCAAGAGGCGATATTGATGGAATCACCATCGCCTGGACAACGCAGAGATCTCTCTCCGACACTCTCCGATCCTGACCTGCCGCGACACGGCCAACTAAACGACAATCCACATCAATTCCATGATCTGGAAAACGACATTGCCGAAATTGACTCGGAAGCAAGGTATCTAAGTTCTTCCGAGCAAAGCCTGGAGACTTCCGAGCAATCTGAAGTACATAGAGATCAGAGCGAACAGTTCAACCAGTATGAGTGGGCGATTCCATCTATAAACCCATATCTTTCAAAGGCCAATACTGCACTCTTGAAGAATATCAACGATAGCCCAACAGGGAAGAAGAGTGCTCAGAACACCTGGGAGGAACTTGAGAATGAGGTCTACGAGGAGGTCAGAAATAGTATCACCGGGAAGCGGCAGCATTTAGTATATGGCACGAACATTGTCAAAAACTGGGTTTGATTCAATTCGGCGAGCGCCAGGATGTTGAAGACTATCAGTATGGAGGGAGGTAAGAGAGGCCAAAAGGATGACAAAGATTTTAAATCTCGGGGAAGTATCCTGAATGAGATTCCTAGATCGTTGATCACAGAAGAATAACTATGGGCTTGAATCTCTGGAAGATATGGCATTCCGATACAATCGCTCTGATAACGATGTGAATGCAATTAGCAGACATGATCCGCGAGATGCGAGACCTTCAGGCCCTGGAAGGCATGGGTGTTGCTTCTGTTAATAGTGGTTTTTACTTTGACTGCTGTATTCCTGACCCTAAAATTCAGGAACTTATCAAATAATAAAGCAAGTCCTGGCCTTTAGTATTTACTCATGGCGATCTTAGCAAAGCCTCAACATTCTCGTGCGCGGAGACAACGTTGTTGGTATCATCGATTGGGAAACTGCTGGTTGATATCCCTCATATTGGGAATCCACTTCTGCACACCAAGTCAGCCCACAAAACTCCCGGGTCAATGAGTTTCATACGACCGATGCCTGAAGCGCTGGCGATGGAATGGATCCATCAAAAACACTTTGGAGGTGTCTAAGCAATCCTGGCTTGTGAGTCATGATTCATACAATGATCTCCTTCCGCTGCATCAAGTCATAGGTTGGAACCTGTCTCATACTAAAGTCGCCCTGGCCATCAAGCTATCAAAACGATGCTGGTCTTTCTTCCGTTGACAATGATCCATGGCCTCGCTGCGCACCTTGTCCCGCTCGACGACGCTCGTGCCTAAAGCACTGGGATTGACCTGAAGCTTTTCCAGTGCCTCCTTTACCCAAAAGACGCATGATTAGAGGCGGACTTGCACTGCCAACCAAGAGCAGATTTCTGCAAATATTTGTGATAGAACACTGACTACGCCAGCAGCCTTGGCCGTCTGGGACGAAGTTAAAGTTTTACAGCTAATTTGAGCCAAGCCAGGAGGTATACAAAGGAATATCAATGGTCGCCTGACCACAACGGTCGTTACCTTGCACCTTCAGCTCTACTAGTCGCTCACTCGAAAGTATCCCAATGGAGGAGACTGAGACAGTAGGGATGTTCATGGAATGGGACCGATCTTACCTCTGGTCACTGGTCAGCAGGAGTCACCCTTGTTACCACCTGGAAATGGAATAAATGTTTTAAGCAAGACTCGGATGGACCAACCACGTATAAGCATGATACTGGTTATGAGCTATACTCGACAAATAGCACCGTGTGATGCACATTGACCAAAATCCGCAATGTAGCTCTCAAGGGTAGCGAATGTTGCCATGACAGTCGAGTAGCCTCATCTATATGTCAATATTCAAGACTAAATGGGGCTGCGGGGCATCACTGCATGTCTTGTATAATCGTGCTTGCGGAATGTTGATCATAGCTATCGGCGAGTGATCTAGATCCCTTGCATGTGTCGGGCCTGTTGAAGGCTGGGACTCGTTTGTCCGGGCGACAGGAGGATACGACTCTTCTTAGCTGTCACCCTAGACTCTGCCCTGGGTTCTGTCTCTGTTGCCTGGCGATGTAAGCCCTTGATGTGTAACGCAGATGAATATTGCTCATTGAAAAGGGCAGCAAAGAAAGTTTCACGCCCTGTGCTCCTTTCGTAGACTTGACCTCGAGGATCATGAAGCTCTTTGTTTAGGATCGCCATCCTGGAGGTGTATGTCGTTGCTGTCTTTATTACGGGCTGTGTCGCCAGCCATTATCAACGAAATTTATGCTTGTGGCTTTAAGCTAAGCATGATGTATGCTGCCAGAACCATAAGAACAAGGCACCGTGAGCTGCAAGATGATGAAATATGGCCGCAAAGGATCAGGCAGCACCACGAGCATATCCTTGCATCAGCTTAGATCAAGCAAGGCCATTGATACCCATACAGGGTTGACTAGAAAAGACAGGGTGTCCCTGGTTTCAATCAAGCAAAGCCTGGCTGTCTATGTCTGGTGAAACACAAGGCTGAAGGGACAAAGGAGAGTCTCCGCCACCCAGAGAGGAACCTTGATAATAGATCAGAAGGTTATCAGTCTCAAGCTCCGAAAGTGAGTTTCCCCACGAGCAAGAATGTGAATGTCTCGAAGAAGCAAGGGACAAGGGTGGGATGGTGGGTTGATGGCTTGATACTATCGTGGTCCCTATCGATATCACCGATAAGATGGGATGATAGGAGGGTTTTCGGAATCAGTACCCTTGCAGGTCGGCAGGGACTGGAGACAGTTTCCGGTACTCCTCCGTACGGCAAGTAGTGAAGTTTTAGGCTCTCCATCGTTATTAGCTCAACTGTCTTCATATTAACTAACTTGAAGCGGAATCGTGGCCGTGATCTCCAGGCATCGAGCTCGAAGTGCGTGTAGCCTGAGGTGTCAGTGTTGTTCTGATTGGTCAACGCGAAAACGCGACCTGGACGCGTATCGACGCGTCTCGTGTCGTGTCTGTAATATTACCTGATCAGGAAAGCGCGCGGTTCATGGATGAATTCTGTATATGTGCACCAGAAATTGGGAGAAGAAAGAGGACCGATGTGGATGATGGATGAGTTGAGAGAAATGAGCAAGTCTACAGGACTTAGGATGGTCTTTATTACTGCTGCTGGAGAGGATTGGGATGGACCGCAGGATGCTATCCTAGAGGGAAAGAATGGAGGGACAATGTTCCCTGAGACCAGGGCATTCAGAGACACAGTTCTTCTCCCTGGTAACTTCTATTCAAGGTGATTTCATTGATTTCGAGAACTCTCTGGAAGGTGTTTCCATAACTGTCTTGGTCCGTAACCTCATCTTATGACACGCTAATAGAATGTCAACGAACATGCACATGCAGCTGCACATGCAATGCTCACCCGATCCTTCCGAGCAGCTCAGACCAGAAAGCCATGACTTCATGGCGTGTCACCGGAGGACCGTTGTCAATTGGAGATGTGGCTTGTTGCTGGGGACTATGATGCAAGGTCGAACTTTCATCCCTCTCTCCCTCGTGTCTCAGTTGGAGTCAATGAAAATCATAGTGTATGTAGACCGGGACTGTGGATCAGACAGAGGGGATAAGTAGTTCATGAATCCGGTGAAGGCAGCATCAATTCAAGTGGAACGAGGGAAATAAGACGGGGCCTTCATCCCGTCGAGGAGACAGACATCAAGGAGCAGAAAGCGAACCAAGAGGAAAGGGACGGAGAGAGAGGTCTCCGGGTCTTTGTCCTTTCAGAGAGTGCCCCATCTTTCAACAACTGCAAAGAAAGTGCTTGAGGATTCTGCAGACACTTCTTATTCATGATTCTAAAAATGTTCTTTGGGTATCCACAGTGTATCTGATATCTAATTTCCCTCCATATTCGATTGTTATTTAGCTTATCGCCGCTTGCGGAACTCCACTCTGTGACAGACTGACAGTGACTGTGCCCAGTTGTCCCTCCACCAGGTTCCCTTTTTCCCCCCCCAAAATTTAATTATCGCTACATTATTATTGTTTCCACCTCAACTTCCACAACTCTCTCCATCCTCCATCATTATTTCATCCACCAAGTCAATCGCACAACTCGGAAACTATTCCATTTGACAGCGCTCATTTCGAAATCTATCATCCACTCATTTTGATTTTCCTATCGCGTTTTACTGCCGACTGGACCTCCCCCGGCGCAAAACACTTCGCGCTGGCGCATTCCTCTGGCGCGCCCACACAAAGCCATTCCCTTCATTCAACACCGCCACTATCAGATCTATCTATACAATCCTTCATTCCGTGTCGCTTGATACGTTTGATATCCATGCTCGCAACCATGTTGCTCCCTTCTGCGCTTCCCTGCGACATGCGACGCTCCTCAACCCGGTCGCGCTTCACACCCAATCGCCTTTTCTCGACGCCTCCCCCGTCCGACAACGACGTCTTTCCATCAAGCAATGGGCTACTGGGGACCTGTCGCGCCCTTCAATCTCTTCTAAGTGGCTCTCCCGCACCGTCTTCGCGACGAGCCAAACCAGAACGTCTCCAGAGTCCGTTCCACCTCGCATCTTCCACATCCTCCACACGGCCACGAAAGCCAAAGACACAAACACGCTCTCGACCTTCCTCTCTTAAACCATCACCGAAACCCTCTCGCGGCGCAAACAAGCGCACACGCGCCAGCTACGAGGCCGACAGCGACGCAGACTCAGAAGTTCAGACTCCGCGCGCTCGATTTTCCACCCCAAAGCGTCGACGCTACGTCCCCTACGATCTCCCCCTCGGTCTATCGCAATCAGACTTTTATTCTCTGAATTCACCACCAACCACACAATCGCCGCCCTCTCCCGCGCAGCGACGACAGCAAGAGCTTTGCGACGAGGTGCGCGCACCGCTGCCGCCCTCGCCGTCTCCCTCCTCGCAGTCGCAGTTTGATCCCGACGCAGCGCTACCGTCCATTGAAGAAACGGGGCCAGATTCTTGGACCTCCGAAGATGACCGGCAACTTGTGGAGGTTGTCCTAGAAAAATTCCAGCTCTCCAAGCGCGACTGGGACGAGTGCGCGCGCCAACTCGGCAAGGATCAGGATAGCATTGGGCGCAGGTGGGAGGCGCTCATTGGAGAGGGGAATGTGGGATTGCGACGCGGACGGCGGATGGTCCGCGGTCGAATCGATGAGAGTTGGCTTTAGCTGCTCTCTTCTGCATCCGTCGCCTTCGACTTTTTGCCTCGACTGAACTTGATACCTGATTCATGGATATACCTTTCTTCTATCCCAAGTGCTATGTATTTTTACGACATCCGTTCGGCTCTACTTTCGACCATACCTATGCTTACGGCAGTGGTTTGTATTACTTTATTATCTTCCGGTTCTTCGGTGTTTGGTTATCTGCTATCGCCGTCGCAAATTGTCTACCGGCTTTTGACTGTGATCTATCTTGTCTGTATATTGTGCCGATGTATAATACTATCTAACATTTCTATATCATCATCTGATGTCATTCCTTGTGCAACCAGAACTTGTGGTCTTTCTTTGTTCATTATGCGGTGCGTTCTTTGTCCAACCACATGGCATAATGTATTGTTCTCGGACTCCGCTTTATACAGAAAGTCTATTATAATATTTGTAGAACTTGAACTAAATAATACAGGAAATGCTGATGGTAATGATGAAATGACCCGAACGCCAAACACCCAGCTCAATGATCGTAGCGAAGATGATGCACTAGAATCTGCAAGTTCGTTAGTCACGCTCTCAGCGTAGCAGGGGAGGAAATGTACCTGATTTCATAACTGCCCGCACGAGTCATATACCGCACCCACTTGACACTGCTGTAGTTGCTCTTCTCAAACACCTTGAGATACCGCACCAGCAACCCACTACTGGTAAACATCAACAGACTAAACGACAGACTCAGCGGCGGCCGGCTCCACGCCTTCTGGTTCGTCATGCTGGTCAGCGTCGCCTCCGCCGTAAGCACGTACTCGCTGCCGCCGGAGAACCGCGCAATCTTCCAGACGATATTGTTATGCTCGGGCTCGTACTTGGCGCGGCCCTGGCTCGTCCGCTCGGTGGTCTTGGCCGTGTTCAGCGGCGTCGGGATGCGGACGACGACGTTCGTCGCGAACAGCTTCGAGCTGTAGTTCGCCTTGATGGCGACGCTGTACTCGACCTTGGTGGTGCCGACCTCGCGCACGATCGGGTGCACCTTGAAGGGGAGGTTGACGTTCTCCGTGGCGCGGTACCGCATAAGCTCGAACTCGCCGTCCGGCGGCACAAACGAGATGATCCGGTCCGCGTCGAAGCGGCCCAGTTTCACGCACTGGTGGAACTGGCAGTCTTCCAGGGTGACGGAGCCGGCGGCCGCGCGGGTTGCTTTGCTGCCGGAGGGGGCGCGCGAGGACGAGGACGAGCCTGCGCCGCCGCTGCTGTCGCCGTCGAGGAGGAGGCGGTCGTTCAGCCCGAACTTGCACTCCGGGGTGCCGGAGAGGTAGGCGCGCATGACGATCTGGCCGGTGACGTCGGCGCGGAGCACGGTGCCCGTTGCGGACATGAGCAGGTTCACGTCCTCGATTACGTCCACGAAGGCTTCGTTCTTGCGGTATTTGACGTCTGCGCGGCGCCAGGAGAGCGCGCCGGTCGCTTGCATTGTGATCCGGCTCGAGTCGGTCGGGTTGTTGACGATGGCGGACTTGACGCCCTCCGTTGTGATGTACATCTTGAGCGTGTCCGGGTCGGTGTTTTGGGGATAGCCAAAGTCGAGGATTTCTGGGAAACGGTTATCCTCCACTCCGTCCCTCTGTTTGAGGAAACACTCACCATCCAGCAACTCATAAATCAAAACAAAATTATTCTTGACGGCCTCCTCGTCAAATTTCCCAAAGTAGCTCTTCCCCAGCAACACCAGCCGGTACAGAAACTCAAACACCAATGCCGCGTTGGCATTGCTCTTGGTCACCGCCACCAGGTAGATATTCTCGTGCTTGACATGGCTGAACGTCGTCGATCCCAGCGTCAGAATGGGCGAGCGCACTTGGGGGTTGGAAATGACCTGGATGCGGAAGATGTCGGCCAGGCGCGGACGGCAGTCATTGCGAAAGGCGCGGAAGATGAGGTTCTCGCCTTTTTGGTTGAAGACGAGAATGCCGGAGAGCATCTTGAATATGGGGTCACTGGAAGGGGGAAAGGAGGGCGTCGGAATGGGTGCCCTGGCAGAAGGGAGGGATTAAATTGGGGATCTTGCCGGAGAAGCTCTCAGGATAAATTGGGGCCGAAGGTGGGGAAGTCGGTCAGTTTAGTCCAGACCATTTCTACTAAGCAACTACTATCAATCAATTCGATCATTCACAAAATTACTGCCAAAGTCTCACAATGTTATTAGCAAGTATTTACATGAAGTGTGACGCTCCGTTGATGGTTGCTGCAAAATTTAGCAACTTATGTCGCAAGATCCTAAGTACATCAAAGTCACAGGTACAGAAGATAGCCTGGACACACTGACGGACATGCATATGAACAGATCGGCATGTCCTCTGCAACAGATTTCAATCTCTAGAGAAACAAGTCTGAAGTTGCGGATGTGGATATCATTGAAGATGACAAGATCCAACAGGCAAAAAAGCCCAGTATTCCGAATTCGCCTTAAAACCCGCTAGATATCACGCACAACGGCCGTTTCAAGGGGTATACAAGAATTAAAAGGGGTATAAAGGTATTAAAGTAAGAGGAAAGAGAAGAAGGCAAGGTCCCAGATGACAGCCCACCTGACATGTTGTTGCAGCTTAGAATCCAAGCCCAACGCCACTGTTTGGTCTCGTCCCCGGCAGTGACACGCCCTCGCTGTGGATGATGCCAACCTTGGGATCCGGGATTTGGATGTCCAAAGACATGTATGCCGTCCGTCGCAGACTCCATATATGTACCCCATCCTTCGCGCCGACCTCGCGATTCCACTTGTCAAGCCAATCCTCCACCCGTCGCAGATGGGTCTTGATACCAGGGGCACCGATATCTTCCCACAACCAACCTGTGACCAGACCCAGCGCGCCATCAATCAGATTGCGGAAACTGAACGGATCAAACGCCTTGATGAGTTCCTCGTTCACCGTCGCAATCACCCGCCGAAACTCTTGTTCCGGTAGTAACGGGTCCAGAATCTCAGGATAGAGGTTCGAGAACGTCGGCGCCAGATCCCCCTTCACCATCCAATCGCGTCGTATTCGAATGATTCGAGTCGTGAGGTATTCTTGCGACCCGATGGGAACATGTGGATTGACATGAGGGTAGCAAGGATGCGCGGGGCCCCATGCCAACTCCTCCGCGACTTCAGCCTCTCCGCCGGTCGGTGGTGCACCTGTGTTTGATGGAATCGAGGCGATTTGCGACTGTGAACGCAGGGAAATCTGTGACGGTCTATGGCGCGGACGATCCCCATGCAGCGGTCCCAGCGAACCCTGTTGATCAGCGAGTGTATCCTGGGCTAGATGGGCCCGTTCGGGCGACCTAAGGTCTTTTTCCTCTTGAGAACCATTGTTGCTGTGTTCCACCTGTTCGGACATCTCCTGCAGAGCAGAATGGCGATCGAATGTGCCACTGCGCCTCTGCCCTCGAGGCACTGCGATGCTGGAGCGTCCACTCTCGGCCTCGCCCTGACTGCGCTCTACTACCAAGCTTGTTGGGGTTTGTGACAACCGACTGCGGCGTCGTTCAGGGATGGTCAGAAGCGGATACGCGTCTCGGTGCGCTTCCAGAGGCAGGTGCTCGTCGGAAATCTGCAGCGGATGCGGGACGGTGACTGGGGTAATTCGGGGTACGTAATTGACTGGGTTAGCGAGTCGGACAGCGGGGGGTCGGAGTATGGTAGTGGTGAGCAACGAATGCGTCCGTTTTTGGAGTTGTTTTTGCCGGAGGGTGGGTTTTTTCAGGCTGTTTCGAGTGGGATAATCGGTAAACTGTGATGAGTATGGGGAGGCACGACGGTCGAACTCGAGAGAACGGTGCGTGTGATGGCGGTGGAGGCGAGTAGTGGAATTCTCTTCAGCCTCGGGCGATGATAGTATGTGCGAGTGTTCCCAGGCCGTTGAAGACGCCGTTTTGGGAACAAGGACTGAGCCACCGGGCGACAGGGATAGAGGAGCGGACGAAATGGTCGTCGCAATGGCTTAGGGGGAGGCCTGGATATTACCACCACTATCGCTAGTAGGAGCAATAATAATAGTAATAATAATAGGGATGATGATGGAGGAGGAGGAGAAGGGGAAAAGGGCAGGCGGTGGTGTGCGGCAGGGGAGGCTGTGATTGGCGGACAAGACTCAGAAAGGGGCGAGGCAGGGGACATGGAAGGCCCAAGCAGAGCACAATGACATCGACGCGGTGGTCCCTCGATGTCGATGCCTGATGATGTTTGAATTGATGCTCAGGATGATGGTGGTCAAGTGCGAGAGTCAGGGAAAAGAGATGGATTGGTATGGTCTGTTTCGATTTGATTTGATTCGAATTGCTCTATGTACGTTTCTCAATGGTTTGTACCTAGTCAAGCAGGTCTCTGTCTCAATAGAAGTGGCTCTCCCAACAAGGCTGTACAATTAGAGGGGAAAAAAGGGAAGAGAAAAGAAACATAAGGGAGAGAACGAGCGAAGACGCGACAATTGATATAGGACGAAAATTTAAGAGCACAGGTGGATAGTCAATAATGACCAAGACGATCCAATAGCCCAAGTAAGGCCCAAGAGTCGCCTCAATTTTCTTTTCCCCATCTCCAAGAAAACTTAGTCTCTCCTGTATAAAGAAAGCTTCAAGGGTATGACGCTATGTATGTACTTTTGTCCTTCAGGAAATCGACGCTTACGACCTCGTATTATTGGTTATGAATCCTTTGGTTGAAGAAAGGGACATGGATGACTGTTTCATTCCCTGCATTCTGTCATGCAGTTCTCACCTGCCAAACGTCTCAGATTGGAATAGGAGCCACTCGTTGCAGTCTTGCAGTTTTTTCATACAGCAGTCATGTTTGCCTCTATCTAGTCTACCCCACGGAGTAAAACCTGAGAAGGGAAAACACAGCTACTTCACGGACTGTCCCCTGCCCTAAGCCCCTGGATTTGCTGCTATATTTGTCTGCCGGATCACTCGGCCAGATTGACTATTCCTTGCCTAACTATCTACTCTGTAATACGTACCTAAGAATTATTCTAGTACAAATCGATTGAAAAGACGGCCCAGTGGATCGAATTTTTGAATAGTGAGGCGTCCGGATCGTCCAGGATGCACTACCTAGGTCATCCGAAGAATGTGTCTTTCTTGCATTACTACCTCCCAGTTTGATTCGTGGAACTGATCTAACGAGACGCTCTCTAAGGAACATAGGTAGTCGGGATCACTGTCTTGAAACTAAATATTATCTACTTATCACAGACGTCAAGTTTGTTCCCGTAAAACATGTGTAAAGCTGAAACATCAGGTCTGGACTGCGCGTCTGTACGGAGTACCCTAGGGTGTACTTAACTTTACCCCGGAGTATCCGGGATCATCTCTATCGGTCTATCTGTGTAAAAGTGCAGTGTTACCGCCCATTCATGCTTTGATTCGCCCTGGCTTGCATGCGTCGCATGGCTTCCCGATGCAAGTCACTCATATCCCCACGCTGCATCCCGTCGGTTATTGCCCTGTCGAGATTGACTTGCAGGGAGGAAGCATTCCGCCCCGGTGCCCCAAAAGGGAACGAAGTGTGAGAGCCAAAGCCTGTCCCACCGATTGGTAGATCCTGTTTCGCCAAGGGATTGTGTTTGTCCTTCAAGTTTTCCCGAATAGATTCTCTCCACGCGGCCATGACCGCTTGAGCATTTCCAGGCCGCGATACGCCCGATTGACTCCATTTCGGGGCTGAGACCGGCATGCTTATGTGCGGACTCGGGACTTTTTGTTGATGCAACATTGCACGGCGACGAGAGAGGGGGAAGTCATCCCCTGATTCCGGAAATGAAGTCGTCGGGGAACTCTGGGCTGAAGCATCCATTGCAACAGACTGCGTAGGGCTGTTCCGCGACGCCCACGGATCAAGGCTGAGACAAGTAGACGAAACCCGACTCCGCATCATATCCTCTCGTACTGCAAGGAGTGGGGGCGGCCCTTTCCACCTCGGTTTGGTGAGCTCGGGTTCCCCTTGAGGTTGTTCAATCGGGATAGGTGGGCTGGATGCGCCTGGGAAAGCAGGATACCCGGCGCCGTAGGACACCGGGCTTGGGAGAGGGGTGGTGGACGATAAGACGATTGTGGAAGGTACTCCTGAAGACCTGTCCACTGGTTGAGCTTCTCCCACCCTTTGTGGACTGATTGCCGAAGTTGTGCGCAGCCTGTAGTCGTTACATATTTGCTGAATGTCGTTTGCGCTCTGCTGTTCTTTTCCGGGGCTGGCACGCAAATTGGCAGCGGGTGGTGGTTGCGCAGTGAGAGGTGTTTGCAACAGCTCCTCGACGTTGACAGGAGCAGGAGCCTCTTCAGCCTCTATAGGGATTTCTGCTGCCTCCTTTGTGATAGGCTCAATAGGTTCTGGCTCGGGAATTTCTGCATCACAAAGATGCTTGGCCCATTCATTCGTGCGATAGGTCTGGACTACCCTCGATGTCCGCTCCGGAAGATGTCTCACTGTTTTGGCGTCCAGTTTGGGCTTTTCCGTTTTCCGTTTACTCTTTAGTTTGGAATGCGACGGCGAGGGTCGCTGGCTCTCGAATTCAGCACTAACTCGGCTTTGACGATYCCCTGTGCCTGGTGGGGTCTTCAATGAGATATGTTCTTCTGAAATTTGAAGATTCTGCTCCTCCGGGCGGCTAGTTTTCATATTTTCTTCGATCGAATTTGTGTCGTTGCAGTCTGCAGTCTCGGCTGTGGCGTTTGTCTGTAAATCTTTGGAGGTCTCCAAAGACTGTCGTTGTGTGCTCTCAGAGACCTCTTCGGCCTCTGCATCGGCTCGAGAAGGCAATGGTGGACATACTCCATCAGCTTGCGTCGTCGACTGTTTGTGCTCTGTCTTCTTGCTATCCGGCCGAGACTCAAGTCCTTGCAAACTTCCCCCATTGTCATCGGATGGATGTCTTTCGTTCTGGCCAACGTCTTGAGCCTCTGTTTTCGATTGCTTCTGTATCGTACCGTCTATAGAAGTGTCTCTTCCTTCCACATTGCGCAAGCCTTCCTCCTCTCCGCGAGCATCTGTTTCTTGCACAAAGACTGAATCCTGTTTGGCGAGGCATTCTTCTTCACCGTCGATGCCTTCACCTTTTTCCACTTCCACGTTGCTGTTGCGCCCTTCAGAGGGAATGACAGTTTCTTGCACTGCTATTTCAGGGTCCGAGCGAGCCTTGACCGCATCTTCGTGTGATTCAATTTCAACGCCATGACAATCCGAGCTTCTATCACTCCTGTCATCCACGGCGCTTTGTGCAGATATCGACGACTCGTCATCAATATGCGCTAGGGCTTCTTGTGATGGTGCAGGTCGCAGGCTGCTCTGTACAGACATCCTCTTCCAGAGTGTCATTCCGGAGAAGCGCTTCGAGCGTACCGTCGCGGTGTCTGAGCCAGCCATGGCAGTCACATCAGATTCCTTGTCATCTATCAGTCTCGCCGCGGCCGCCCCGTCAAAGACCTTGAATGGCATTGGATGTGTGCCATCAGTTGTCTTCACAGTCGTGTCTCCATGTCTTTCGACTTCGGTATCTCCCGTAGCCTGAGTCACATCTGAGAATGAATCCTCACTGCACTCTTGTTTTCTACAGTCAGAGCAGCGATAGGAGACCTGGGATGAACCGGAAATGCTGTGGACGTCGGCCACGTCACCCTTCTCAAGATCCTCCTTATCAGCAGCACATTGAGTGCCGTCTCCAAGCTCGGGCATGAGCTTTGCTTCCACATCCGCGTATTGAGCTTCCCATGCTTGTCTTTCCCGCATGTTATTCTCCTCGAGCCTGCGGGCAACTTCAGCTTCGGCCTCTTCTTTCCTCTTCTCTTCCTCTTTCTTGACTGCTTCATCCTTGCTTCTCTTCTCTCTGATCACTTTCCACAGTCTGAGCTGCGACACAACACCTAAGATAGCAACAATCACTGTGACGGCAAGCTCTACCCGGATATTGCGAGTGATTGGGTAGGTTCCAGTCCCCAGCGGGAATACATCTTCGTTGAGTCCTTCATGAAGGGTGAGTAAGATTGCGAGGAAGAACAGACTACACCGCACTTACCCCATATATAGAGCCAGAACTCTTTCAGTCCAGCCCGGCTGTAGCAGTCGATCCCGAGGGCAACAGCCGTACCTCCCGAAACAGCAGCTGACACTATCAGCCCATAAGGACGCGTGTGATGACTAAAGGACAAGGCGTAGAATGCGACGGAGATCGCGCCGATGAACCCGGCTTTGACATTTGTGTCTGTGAGAAGTCCTCCAGGCCTCAGGCAAAGAAGCCACATGCTCACACAGAACCCTCCCAGGAGGCATCCAAGCCCTTCAGTCAATTCCTTGAACACAATGGAAAGCGCTCCAAATGTCAGTCCTGTGAAGAAAATTGCCACGAGATATGCTCCTTGTACCGCCACGCGCACAGGAGGATTCATCACATATACAATCAAGACCTGATTTGTCAGTGTACAGTACGACTAGGCTTGCCATGCGATAGGCTTACCGTCACTCCTAAGCTTGTAAGAAAGGCGGCAGATAAGAAAACTTGAACCCTGGGTCAAATATGTTAGCTCGGAGAACTTTCTACAGGCGAGATCCTGACAGTACCATGAATTGCGTATTCCAATCAATGCAAGGATGACTCCCGTAGCTATAAGGATAAAGCCGCCAACCCCAAACGCTGGAGTCACCTGGGGCTCAAGCGGAAGGGCGCCAGGCGCGGGCGTAACTGTTCCATCTTTCCGAGATTAGCTTTTAGAGGTTCCAATGAGGGAGGATGCACCCACTCTCAGATACAGTTGATGTGTTGAGCGACACGATAGTCGTTGATGCCGGCGCGATGTTGTTCGAAGTGGTTGTGGAGTTCACTTTGACTGTCGCATGGTTTACTGCGCTCGTTGCTGAACCGCTTGGAGCTTGGCTCCCTGATATTGTCGCAGTAGGCGATTCGTCTCGAGCTCCTAGAGCACGAACTGGCTGAATTTTATCGCGGCCAACATGCGGTATTGATGCTGCAAAAACAGATAGTCTAGATATAATACAGACAACCAAAGCAAGGAGAGGCAGCAATCTCATCTTGACTGCGAGGGTGACTTTTGTAATGATCTCAAACGCGATCGATAGAGACGGTTGCCGAACTTAGCAGGCTGGTGACGCTGACGAGTACTTCTGAGATAGTGTCGACAGATCTTTCCAATTGTT